GAGCTCATAGAGCTCCTAGGTGTTGTTCGCGACGATGCTCCTCATCTCTTCATCCATCGCCGTGTGCCAGCCTTGCTCCCTCTCTGCCTCAGCGAAGGAAGCTGATTCTTCTCCCGCGAACATGCACAGTTCGCTGTCGCTGTAGACTGCCTCCACCTCCTCCGTCGTTTCCCACACATTCTCAAGTGTGCGGTACCGACGAGGCGCCTCCGCGCCGGCAGGTGCCTTCGACGCGCTAGTGGGCGGTGAGACAAACTCAACACCCGTTGGCGTCAAGATTGGCATGCCGTACACCGGAGTGGAGGGAGGAGGCGGGCCGGAATCCCCTCGTGTCTTGGATGGCTTGGCGCTGGTCGTGGGCGTCGCGGCGTGCGCGGCCGGGGTGTCCACCGTCTCGGCCTGGACGCTGCTCGTGGGTGCGGGTACCAGCTCCACGGTGAAGGAGTCCATACCACCGCCCTGTCCTTCTACGGCGGAGATCCAGTCCCACGAGGCGCTCTCATCGAACACCACGTCACGCGAGACATGGGCGCGCCTGGAGGGCGGGTGGTAGATGCGGTAGGCCGCCGATCCGGGCTCGTACCCAAAAAACACCATGGGCACACTCCGATCATCCAGCTTCTTCATGTTCGGGCGCGTCACCTTGACTTGAGCGATGCACCCAAAGGTCCGGAAGTGCTCCACGCTGGGCCGCTTCCCGCAACACACCTGGTAATGGGTCATGCTGGTCACACTCTTCGTTGTTGCCCTGTTGAGTAGATGCACGACCGTCATCACAGCCTCGCCCCAGAAACGAGTTGGCACGCCCTTGGCCTTGAGCAAACTTCTTGCCATGCTGACGATCGTCTGGTTTCGGGGCTCAACCACGCCATTCTGCTGCGGCGTGTATGGGGCGGTGAGCCGCCAGTGCACTCCCACCTCCGCGAGAACTCCCAGAGGCTGGCGGAGTTGAACTCACCGCCGCGATCGGTGCGCAGGGTCTTGAGACGGCGGCTGGATTCACGCTCTACCGTGGCCTGAAACTGACGGAGCGCGGTCTCCGTTTCGTCCTTCATCGTGAGTAGCCGCAGCCAATCAAATGGCTCTTGTCATCGACGAGCAGGAGGAAGTACCGCTTCCCTCCCAGCGTAGGAGGAGAGATTGGCCCGCACAGATCGGCGTGCACGAGCTCGAGTACCTCTCCGGCGCGGTTCAGTGCCTAGCGGGGCAAAGGAGTTCGCCGGTGCTTCCCAGCTAGGCACGACTCGCAGACGCGGCCCACCTCATCGAGGAGGGGCAGACCGCGCATCATGCCCTCCTGTGCGAGCTAGCGGAGCGCCTGGAACCTGATGTGGCCGTAGCGTGCGTGCCACAGCCACGCATCCTCACCAGCGTGCACCGTGAGGCACATTCAGGCGTAGCACGTACAGGCGTCCATGGCCACGCTGCACACGCGCAACCAGCCGCCCACTCAGGTCGCACAGCTTGAACTCAGCGTGGCGAATATGCGCATCATAGCCGTTCTCGTCCAGCTGCCCTACACTGACGATGTTGTTGCATAACCTGGGCATGTAGTACACCTCCGTGAGAACTAGATGCTCACCGTTGAGACACTGGAAGAGGACGGTTCCTCTCCCCTCGATCTGCACTATAGATCCGTCGCCCTGCTTCGCCATACCGCGCACACCACAGTCTAGCTCGGAGAATATCTCCCGCCTGCCGGACATGTGGTTGCTCACGCCCGTGTCCAAGAACCAGGCGGTGTCACACTTCCCTCCATTCGGCACAGGGTGCGACTGGGAGTGTTCCTCATTGAGCAGGACGTGCTCCATGGCCGTCTCCGTGGGCGTGGTGAGCGCGCACAGGCTCGCCAGGAGGAGCGTGGACTCCTCAATGCCGCCCTTCGTAAGATGGACCTGCTCCTTGCGCTCACACCGGGGCTTGGTGTAGTCCCGCAAGAAGTGTCCCGGCTTGTTGCAGTTGTAGCATTTGACTTTGCTCATGTCGCGGCCGCCGCCGCGACCGCCGGATCCCCGGAGCCGCCAGAGCCGCTGGCATGCTGAGGTGGGAGAGAATCGTTCCTCCGCCCCTGGTTCTTCCCACGGCAGTTGTTCTGCCCGTCGTCGTTGCCACCGCCGCTGCCAGAGCCTTGGCCGCCCTCACGCGCCTGCTTGCACACCTCCCACTGCTACTCAGTGAGATACAGCTGCCCGCCGCCTTGGCTCGGCGTGGGCGTGGCGCAACGCTCCTCGGCGGTCCTGAGCCGGCCGATGAGTTCCTCAATCGAGACCGTGCTCAGGTCGAGAAGTGTTTCGATCGCCACTACGATCTGCGAGTACTTGGGGGAACAACACGCAAGAACTTCTGCACAACGCGTACCTCCTCCACGTTGTAGCCGAGGGTGCGCAGCTGGTTGACGAGGCTGGTGATCCGCATGCCGAAGGAGTCGAGAGTTTCCCCGTCGTGGAAAGCGATCTACTCGAATTCCGCACTAAGACGTTGCGCCGTGGCCTCACGCACGTGGTGCACTCCCATCTGCATGATCTTGACGGTGGACGACAAGGACGCCGAGCATCTCTGACAGAATGGCTCGGAGAAGGACACCGAGCGCCGCCTTGCCATCGCGCACGTGTTGCGCGTTGCCTTCGATCGCGTCCCAGAGCCCCCAGGACTCCAGGTGTAACTTCATCTCCAGTGACCACTCGATGCATTTGGTCGCGATGAGGGTCGGGAACGTGGTGCCGGCGCCCGGCACGAAAGGCGCGCGCTCCGTAGCCGCCGCCTGGTGGATCACCACCTGCCGCTCCCGCCTGAAATGGCTTCGCCCGCGGGTGCACTCGCGTGGTGGAGTCTCCAAGCGTGCCTGCCTGCCCGTGACTCCGTTGAGGCCCGCCGCCGCCGCCGTTGTAGGCGCGTCCGGCTAGTCTCCGTGATCGGACATGATCACCGGTATCGCTCAAACGAGGCTCTGAATACCACTTGTCGGGAAACTTGGCACTCAAATCTCACGATCACAGAGGAGACAGTAGTTTTGTGTCGCGTGCAACCTTGCAACTTTTCCCGTTTTCTTTCTCCGCAATTTATTCGTTACAAGGAAGGAGAGGCAGGTAGCGATCTTAACTATGCGCAACGATCCGCCGTGCTCGCGCCATCCCATGAGTGCTGATCGTGCCTCCTAATCCACCTGTGAGACTACTGGGCCGACCGTGGTGACCACGTCCGCCCGCCCAAGCTAGCTACTTGCATGGCACACACATACGGCGGCTCATATACGGTAAGGGTTTCACTTTTGGTGAGTCACCTTGAAAGTCCGTAAAGCTGCATATCAGCGATGGAGCCGCGTCGAGCTCGGGTGAGGAGGTGATTCGTCATTCTTTTCTTCGGTTGCTGCTGCGGTGGTGCCGGAGGCAGGTGACGGACGTTGGTGTCAAGCTCAGAGATGTTCTGCTATCTTTTCAGTTTTGTCATGTCGGTCTTTACGTGACTTGTATTTTGTTCTTTATGATATGAATGAGACACGTATTACCATGAAAAAAAAACAGATCTTCCTCGAACTGTAAGGGCATTATACGGATCGGCGTTATACGAGTCTGCTATGCTCACGTGTACGTGTAAACAGACACCGCAAGTGTATTTTTTTTGTTTGCCGAGCACAACACACAGCAAAGCACCGTTTATCTTCATTACAATCAGAATAATTGTGGTGACGGGCTATATAATGAGAGAGAAAGCATACATACATGAGAGACGAGAGAGCAACACTAGCAACTAACACGTACACGCTTCCCATTAATCTTTGCAACTGACACTACACGATGGCGGCGGCGCCGCACGTTGTGGTCGTCGCCTTCCCCTTCGCCTCCCACGCGGTGAAGCTGTTCCGCATAGCGCGCGCCCTCGCGTCGGCGGCGCCGGCTGCCACCTTCTCCTTCCTCTGCACCGCCGGGCACCTGCAGAAGCACACTACGCTCCTGGGGAACCTGCGCTTCGTGGAGGTCCCGGACGGTTTATCACCGAGCTCGGAATCGGATGGCGCCGCTGCGGCGCCACCGCCCCACCCCAAGATGCGTCTGAAGCTCTTCATGGAGGCTGCCGCGGCTGGCGGGTTGAGGGAGGCGCTGGAGACGGCTCGCGCCTCCGCGGGCGGCGCCAGGGTGACCTGCGTCGTTGGCGACTCGTTCATGTGGATGGCCGCCAAGGCGGCCGCCGAGGTGGAGGCTCCATGGGTCGCCGTCTGGACCGGCGGCCCCAGCGCTCTCCTGGCGCACCTCCGCGCTGCGGCGCTGCGGGACGACATCGGTGATAAAGGTACGCAGCACGATCCACCATGAATGCACGAAGGAAGCTTGATTAGGTGTGTAGCTTGGTGACTGAATGCTCGTAACAATGGAACTTGCAGCGGGGAGCCGAGCATACGAGCTGCTAACCTCGCACCCGGGCCTCGGAAGCTACCGCGTCCGGGACCTCCCCAACGGCATCATCTCCGGCGACATGAACTCGCCCATCGTCTCCTTGTTCCGCCGCATAGCGGAGCACCTTCCCCGCGCCGCCACCGCCGTCGCCTTCAACACCTTCCCGGGTCTCCTCCCGGACGACCTCACCGCCGCGCTCGCCGCGGAGCTCCCGGAGTGCCTCCCCGTCGGCCCGTTCCATCTTCTCCCATTCCCCGGCAACGAGGACACCGTCGAGACCTCCACCGACCCCCATGGATGCCTTGACTGGCTCGACGGCCATCCCGCACGCGCCGTCGCGTACGCCAGCTTCGGCACGGTTGTCACCCGGAGGAGCTGCGTGAACTGCGTGAGCTCGCGGCCGGGCTTGAGGCCTCCGGCGCGCCGTTCCTCTGGTCGCTGCCGAAGGAGTCCTGGCCGCAGCTCCCGCCGGGGTTCCTGGACCTCGAGCGCGGCAAGGTGGTGCCGTGGGCGCCGCAGGCGGCCGTGCTGCGGCACTCGTCGGTTGGCGCCTTCGTGACGCACGCGGGGTGGGCGTCGGTGCTGGAGGGCGTGTCCGCCGGCGTGCCCATGGCGTGCCGCCCCTTCTTCACCGACCAGAAGATGAACGCGCAGCTGGTGGCGCAAGTCTGGCGTTTCGGCGTGGTCTTGGAGGAGCCCATGACGTGCGAGGCCGTGGCGGCGGTGGTACGGTCGCTCCTCGCCGGGGATCAAGGCATCCGGATGTGGGAAAAGATGCAAGAGATGAGGGGCATGGCGGCCAATGCTTTCGCCGCCGATGGCGGTAGCAGGAAGAACTTAGATAAGCTTGTCAAGATAGTATGTCGACAACTGTAATTTGCCAAGTGAGCAGTGAAAAAATAGCGCAAAATAGCACGAGCCTTAAAATCCGCTATTAGCGTGCTATATCATCTTATGTTCAATATTGTCATCGCTTCATGAGTTTCCTCTGTATGCCCAACGCGGTTTAACCGCTCCCATGGAGCATGGCAGCCCGCCCGGTAACCCCTTTGCCGAGCATTCATATGTTTGCTACTCCTTTCTTTTATCTATATAGGGCCTAATGTGTTTTTCAATGCCTACTTTGACTAAATGTTAGAGCAATAATATATGACATGCAACTTAGACAAAGCATACAGGCAAATTCATATGTCAAAGAAGCTTCCAATGATATAATTTTTAGATTATACATCTCATGTACTATTAATCTTGTCAATAGCAAAGACGGTCTTGAAAAACACATTAGGCTCCTATAGATGGAAGGAGGGAGTAAGTGCTATGCCGAGGGTACTCGGCAAACCAGGACGACACGCTGCGCCCCTCTGTGGTTCAGCCATTGTCGACTATCGTGCCTAGGTAACTTGGCAAATATGACAATTCTTTGCCGAGTGTCTGCCCATAAGAACTCGGCAAACCTTGTGGAGAATTGGCGCCCTCCAATGGTACCATCTTTGCCGATTATCAAACTGAAGGCAATGGCAACCCTTGTTGCCCAGCTAGCAGGCACCTTCGCTGTTGGCTGCCCGTCAAACCACTTTACTTTGCGGACCACGTCCATTTGCGTCATTTAGCACTTAGCATACTATTGGCCGAGAGTACCCAACAGAAAGGACCCGACAAAGCGTGCTTTGCCGAAAGAGGGTCTGCTGAGTGTAACGCTCAACAAAACATTTGTGGAGTGTTTTCGGCCCTTCACCGAGTGCTCCTAGCACTCGACATTCCAAGAAAATGAATTAGTACTCCTAGGGCATCACATATGTACGACGTCCCTATTCTTTCGTTT